ATGATCACGGCGAAGATAGAAATGACAAAGCTGTGGCGAAAAGTACCCCTGTCAGTTGTGGGTATTCTAGGTAGATATGGACCTCCTAAAGAGTCTGTAGCTACTAAAGTTCCTCTTACCAGCTCCAGGCATTAAGCGCCGATACGACGGGCTTCATTTTCTGTCGAGGTGATAGATAGATGTGAGGGCGGAGAGAAGGGTGGCTTGCGGCAAGCTGCCGATGGAGGTGGTTGGGGGGTTTTGGGGGGGGGGGGGGGGGGGTGTGAAAAGAAAGAGGGGGTAAGGGGTTTTGGACCGGAGAGCAGAGGCCTGATAAAGCGGGATAGGATATATGTGAGGTTCTTAGGGCGGGACCGTATGGTGTTGTTGATGTTCGATAAATAGTGGAAGTTGTGGGCTAAGCTTGATTCAAGCGGCGTTGTCAGGTCCCGCTAAAATAAGATGAACGGAGACTCAACCCCGGCTACTATTTATGACACATTTACCACCACGAACTCTCGAGAAACATGGAATCCGCTGAAACACAACGTTTGTTTAAAGATGATCAAATGAGATGCCAATAGAAGAAAGCTAAGAGCTTCAATTCCTATTTCCACCCCGAATATGCGACGAACCGTCGGAGCAGTAACGAACAATTTGCCACTCCAAGCCAGATAGTTTAGTTTGTATATTATATTACATGCGTCCCTAACATGAGGGGATACATTCGTAATCCTAGAAATTTCCGTCGCTTTTAGTCGTTTCTCATCAAGAAGTCGGTATGAAACTTCTAGCTTCCATTCGTCTTGTTCCACTCCACGCATTCCGCAAAAGTGACACCAGATCCGCCAAATATATCAAGAGCGCTTCCAATCGTCAAGTCCACCTTGCCTCCACTAGCTGACTTGACGCGGTCGAGATCTCCCAGATTCCTCCCTCCGCCAGCATAAGTTACTGGAATAGTGCACCATTCGCCCAATTTTGATACCAGCGCGTCGTCAATTCCTTGTTGCAGACCCTCGACATCCGCAGCATGAATAAGGAATTCGGAGCAGTATGGCTCAAGCATTTCAATGGTCTCTGCAAATCGTGTCAGTGAATGCCGCAACAGGAGTTCCCTTTATATATCGAAGCATATGTACCTCGTGTGATCTCCATTTCTGTTATTGTCTGCCACTTATTCATGGCAACGAACCACGAGTCTCCCTTCTTCCGACAACTCAGGTCTAGCACCAACTTGGACTTGTCATTCCCAACAGTGGAGAGTATCGTCTGTAATCGGTCAAGAGAGAATCGTCCCTCAGGAAACAGGTAGGATGTAATAACCACCTACTACTCAATTTTCAGGACGTAAGCCACTTTGCACGATCACTTGTGGGTAGCAAAACAAGAGTAGGAAAATATCCTTGAATAATGAACACACCAAACGCACAAACTACATTCACAGAGCGCATGGAAAAACAAACAAAGTAAAAGAAAAGGAAAAAAAAAAAAACACCGGGACATTCGATAGACCGAACAGACCTTCTCGGCGCCAGCTTCGATCCAATATCGGGCATTCTTGTCATTAATGCCACCGGCAACTTGCAGACCCCCGGGCCAGGCAGCCAGCGCTTCCCTTGCAGCCTCTTCATTGCCTCCTCCCAGCATGACAACATGTCCGCCCGTCAAGCCATTTTCCTTGTAAAGCTTCGCAAAATATCCGGCAGGGTGGGAAGATATGTAATTCGTCTTCAATTCCCATGGTTTTGAGGACAGAGTACCGCCGACGATTTGCTTGACCTGTCCCGCATGCAAATCAATACATGGGCGGAAACGAGTCATTATTTCCCCTCTTTTTCTTTGTGATAGGAAATAAGAACTTTTGCGAACCGAACAACTTTTTTGCTCGATATTTAAAGCACGTGATTTAAAGCTAACTATCCGCATTGACAAAAATAAAAATAACTTGCTATTTCGTGCTAATCCGATCAGGAAGCTTCAAATCGACACCACGAAAGGCCTGAATTGGTCGGAAAACACGTACAATGCTGGGCAAAAGGAAGCGGGATGTCGTTGTCGTGACGAGACAAATACGTCAAGAGGACAGCGACATCCAAAGCCTATCTCTATCGGCTGACGAAAAGCAAGATATTCTTCGCAAAGTCTTCGAGTCTCGATTTGGACCAGTGGAAGCCCTTGTGAAGCCGATAGCTATGAGTCCTGAGGAGCCATCACATCCCTCGTTGGCAGAAGGCAACGACGACGAGTGGGAGGGTCTTTCAGATAAGGCCGACACTGCTGCTAGTGAGCAGCACCCATCTACGGAAGTCGTGGAGCACACGACCTCATGGAACCCAGCGAAGGATATATTGGATAAGCCGGCCCGGAAATCTTTTATGGTGTGTTTCATTCTACTACATTCATATTTCATTCAAGCAGACCTACCTACCCCAGTATCTATGCACAGAAAAGAAAAACAAAAAGATAAAACATTTGAAATACATCGAGAAGGGATACTATGATATAAATTCTAATAGTCCTCTCATAACCCTTCAGACCTCATAGCCACCACCGTCCTCTATAGAAGCGCAGATCTCAACACCAAATACGAAAAGAACAGGAGAAGCGGGCGCCGCTGCCGATGATCAAGCCATATAGGCTGAAAACCTCTATAACGATCTTGCGCTACAAAGACTATTATAGGAGTCACATCTTCTCGATAGCGCTGATGACCTTTATCCCAACCGGGCGCATAAAGACATCGCGCCGATCGACCTCCGCATGC